CATATTGTTTTTCCTTTTTCCATTCATCATGCATAGAGCATGTTTGGGCAAGCTTGAAATCCAATTAAAATTGAAAATATAGTCGTTATTGGGTCTCACTCGTCTAATAAAAGTTAACAATAACGACTAATTTTTCAATTTTAATCCGATTTTAATCTCTACCGAACACGCCTCTTTCATCTAGAAAATCGATTTAAATTAGGACTAAAATACTAGAAAAGTTCAAAGTTGAAGACCATAGTTGAAATTAACGCTTTCTATTATAGCATTTACAACATACCTACGAGCAACCAGGCAACTAGAGGGTGTAAAGTTGACTAGAAAGTAGAAAACAGACATGAGGCTTCTCCACCTTCGCCGCCTCCATACCTCCTTCCTCCGCCGTAGCTACGCCACTAAGTACAGCGGCAGAGTGGTGGTGGAAACGGACAATGGACGCTCCTTCGCCGTCGAGGTTAAAACTCCCATCCTCCATTCCGACGTCCGCGGCTACCCGCTTCCCCGCCGCGATCTCATCTGCAAGGCCACTCAAATCCTCCAATCCAAATCCTCAACGTCCTCCGTCGAACCCTTCCTTGACCTCTCCGAATACCTCCAAACACTAAACCCAACCCTAACCACCTCTGAAGCCTCTGAAATTCTCAAGTCCCTCAAGTCCACAAACCTAGCCCTAAATTTTTTCCAGTTTTGCCCTTCACAAATCCCGAATTTCCGTCACGACGCTTTCACTTATAATCGGATTTTACTAATCCTCTTCAAATCCTCCCTTCCAGATCGAATTGATCGTGTGAAAGAGATCATTAATCAAATGGAGAAATTGCGGAATCGTGGCAATATATCCACCGTTAATATTCTAATTGGGACTTTCGACGGTGTAGATGAATTGGAGAAATGTTTGGAGTTGGTGAAGAAATGGGATCTGAAAATGAACTCTTACACTTATAAGTGTCTTCTGCAGGCGTATTTGAGAGCAAAAAGTTCGAGTAAAGCGATGAATGTTTATAAAGAAATGCGGAAGCGAGGATATAACTTGGATATCTTTGCATACAATATGCTTCTTGATGCTCTTGCGAAAGACGAAAAGGTTTGGAATTTGGACTCAATTTTCAATTATTTTCTTTAACCTTTTCTATCATATAAAAAGTTTGGGTTTCAGTTATCTGCAAATTAGAGTCGATTTCATTATGGAATTTTAGATTTTACGTGATTGCGTATTGAAGATTTAGAATTCAGAGAATAAATGGTGAAAATTGATATTATAGAATATAATTCTTTAATTTAGTCGTCTTTTTATGTCCGTTTGACAGCCAACATGTTAGAAGCTTTTTGGGCATCACCAATTACCCATGAATGAATCTGAGTATATTCGAGGATTTCATATTGCGGTTGTCTTTATTGTTTTGAGGATTAATGAAATAAGTATTTCATATATGACTCTACATATAGGTAATGCATATCAGAGATGTAAAAAATGTCATTTTGTGGAATCTAATAATCTGATGTGCTGCAGCGTCTTTCCAGGTTGATCAGGCTAACAACATGTTTGAAGACATGAAAAGGAAGCATTGTGAACCTGATGAATATACATATACAATTCTGATTAGAATGTTGGGAAGGTCGGGGAAGGCTAATGAGGCAGTTGCTTTATTTGAGGAAATGCTATCAAAGGGTTGTAAACCAAAACAAATGGCTTATAATACTATGCTTGAGGCACTTGCAAAGAGTCGAATGGTGGACAGGGCTTTGTTACTCTTCTCCAAAATGGTGGAAAATAATTGCCGACCGAATGAATTCTCTTACAGTCTCATTCTCAATGTTTTGGCTGCAGAGGGACAGCTTGGTAGACTGGATGAGGTTGTGGAAATATCAAATAAGTACATGAATAAGTCGATTTATGCCTACCTTGTTAGAACACTTAGCAAATTCGGCCATGCAAGTGAAGCTCACAGGTTGTTTTGTAATATGTGGAGTTTCCATGATAAGGGAGATAGGGATGCTTACCTTTCCATGTTGGAGAGCTTATGCAATGCCGGGAAAATATCAGAGGCAATAGACTTGTTGAATAAGATGCATGAAAAGGAAATAACTACTGATACTTTTATGTATAATGCAGTCTTCTCTGCTCTTGGAAAAACGAAACAGATTTCTCACCTTCATGATCTCTATGAAAAGATGAAACAAATTGGCCCTTCACCAGATATATTCACTTACAATATTCTGATTTCTAGCTTTGGCAGAGCTGGAAGAGTTGATGATGCTGTTAGGATTTTCGAAGAACTTGAGACCAGCCATTGTACGCCAGATATTGTCTCTTACAATTCGTTGATTAACTGTCTAGGGAAGAATGGTGATCTTGATGAGGCGCATGTGAAATTCAAAGAAATGCAAGAAAGAGGATTAAATCCTGATGTTGTCACTTATAGTACTCTCATAGAGTGCTTTGGTAAGACTGAGAAAGTTGAGATGGCTTATCGTTTGTTTGATGAGATGCTTGCCGAAGGTTGCTCTCCAAATATAGTTACCTATAATATCTTACTAGACTGTCTTGAGAAGAGTGGGAGAACTGCAGAAGCAGTAGATCTTTATACAAAACTAAAACAACAAGGCTTGACACCAGATTCTATAACCTATGCCATTCTTGAACGGTTACAAAGTGGTTCCCATCAGAAAGTTCGAATTCGGAGGCAGCATCCAATAACTGGTTGGGTTGTCAGCCCATTAGGTTGACAAAAAGAGAAATCTCTCTCACAAAGTTTATGTGAAGTAGCAGCCAGTTATGCCCCTAAAGAGAATTAGTCATCTGGGCATAATCATAAGGAAGAATGAATGGTCTTTTCAGTGGCATATAAGATGGACAAGTGATGTTACGCTGAACCCTGTATCAAGTTCATCGTGCCTCATGTCTATGGGACACACAGCACTCTTATTGACCCGTGATTCTGATATCTGGTGTATTGTTTTGTGTCAACTTCTGAAGTTATTCAAGTGGTTATTGAGGGCTGTGGCATAGTCATGTTTGCAATTATAGTGCATTGCATATGAATACGCCTATATAATACAGAGGATGTGCAACTTAAATGCATTATTTACTATTTAAGGCCCGTAGGACGATATATTTTCTTCATCATCAATGGCCAAAGCATGTATTTTTCTCTCGAGTTGGGAAATAGAAAGCGAGATGCTTCTTCTGAACCAAAGTAAAGGAGGAAGAGCCATTTGGAAGATTAGAGCAAGTTGGCATTTTTTTCCTCTTTTACTCGATTTTCCTTAATTGTTGTATTCATCATTTGTAATATATACCTGGACGGTAAGTAACCATCTTTAATAACCACATGTTGTATTGATTACTGTACCCTGTTTATTGACTGTTATTAGCACATATTGCTACTTTTCAGTAATAGATTTTGATCATAATTGAAAATTATTGTTCTTTATAGTGATTATAAATGTATCGTGAAAGTTATAAACAGTCTTTGCAAGTTTTAAATGACAGTTTTAAGCTATCACGAAAACTTTCAACAACGAAGGTTATCTATGATGTAGATGTGAAAAAATCAAGATGATTCTTGTGTTTACTTCCTATGATTATAGCAGAGTGTTTCGCACAGATTGTCGCTAACAATTAAAAAAAGGATCAGCCGATTATGTAAAGGACAAACCTCTTGAGAAAGTCTCCAAAAAGGGGTGCTTTATTGATGAAAGTTACAATTTGGAAATAAACAAAATACCTCCAAGGAGCGCAAGCACATGAGAACTGAAAATGGACAATTAAAGTTAATCTATGAAATTGAAATTATATATTTTCTGTTTGAGAGTGTTTGATTCGGGGTCATCTTCTCTATGTATTCGCTTCTTTTTATACTTCCTTGAGAATTTCTTTATGACAAACTGCTTGGAAACTGCTTGTTTGCTCTATAACTACCCACTTTCTTCATGATGGTTGATTTGTCGTGGAACTGCCGTCTCTAATTGTTGCCATTACTTTCGTCGTTCAACTGTCTACAACTGTGATTCTTGAATCATGGGGTGTGATAAGGTTGCTCAATAACTACTTCAATAACTGCTGCTCTAGATAACCATATTACCTCATGTTTGCTAGGATCCTTGACGATTCGAAGGTTTGGACGAGAATAGGCTCGTTTGTTCTGGGCGATTTTAAAGGCACTCCACTCGTTCAGATCTTGGACGTCTTGCAAGATTGGACAATGACGGTACCTTGTTCGTGGGCCTCCACTGCATTCATTAATTGTCCTATTTGAACATTCATCCTGGACTTCCTAATTGGATTTTATCCCTTTGGCTAATTGATTTGGGCTACATTTTCTGTATGTCAACACAAAGATTCTTGATCATCTGCTTAGACAGTCGAGTTTAGCTTTCAGTGAATGATATCTGTTTGCCAAATTGGAGTGCTAATTTGTATTGCTCATTGAAATTATATTCATTTCTTGTATCTTCCTCTTAAAATTTTTGTGACTTACGCTGAAATTAGTTTCTTCATAATTATATTAAATTTTTGTGAAGGAAAATATTTTTTGTCAGTGTGATGTACATAAAATTGTCATTTCACAAGTTTGTCATGGTGTTTTTTTTTGGTTCATTTGTGGTGATGTATAAATTTGATTGCGAAATGGTGCAGATTCTATTGATGCCCGTGGAGGATCTAATACCAACGTGGCTTCAAACGAGAGGTTCAACCTGATTTATGCCACAATCAAGTGGAAACTTGAGATCAGATGGCTTAAGAGTCTCCCATAATCCTATACTATCTTCAGGATAGCAGTTCCAGTGCTGGTAGACTATCTATCGGGATCATTAAATTTGTTGTTTGGCATCTACTTTAAAACTTTACCAATGTTATGAATATTTTCTTCCTATATATTTTGATTAGACAGCAGCCCAATTTCGTTGTGTACGGTAAATTGAATCGAGAAAGATGAAATGTTTCAATATTGCTTGGTTCTGTGTATCAAATTTGTTCACATGCTTGTGATGGACATGGAAATTTATTCAAAATGATTTTATTTCTCCTCTTAGAGTCGTACATTCTTGTTTTGTATGTTACTACGATGGTTAATTGATATAAATTTAAATATATTTCGATAAATAAGAATGTTTCATTTGTGTTTCTAACCACGACAAAGAAAATTAAATTTAAATGTTTCAAATTTTTTCTTGAACCTGTAAAACTTGCCAAAAAATTTCAATTATTTCCAAATCATCGGCCAATGTTCGTCCCATAACTGGCTCCACTCCACGTTATTCTTATTCTATGTTCAGATTTTTCTGGGCAACTTTTCATCTTCGTATATTTGTTTCTATTCAGACACAATAAAAAAATCATTACATAAAAATTTAAGAAAATGTCGTGGCAAACTTACGTAGACGATCACTTGATGTGGATGGCGTTCATCTCACCCGCTTCTGCTATCATTGGCCTCGACGGCAGTGTCTGGGCACAGAGCGCCGCCTTCCCTCTTGTTTGTGAATTGTATGGTTTTGCTTTTTCTGGATTAGATACTATTTGCTAAACAGATCATTTGATTGAATAGCATTCATATAGATGGCTCGAGTTTTTGTTACAAAGGCGTTTTATCAAGTATTGATTTTGTTATGAATTTAGTATTGAAGAGCATTGTAAGATCATGCATTATTCCAGTGACCCAGTCAAAGACGTAGCGTTGTCGAATTTGGTCAAGATGGGTGGTGGGCTGCCTCGTCCGCTGCCTGTCTTATCTAGAAACGTGCCTACAGATCAAGATGGGTCAGATCCAGGTAGGGCTGTCCGTGGGTCGGTTCGGTTAGGTTCT